ATCTAATGAGGTGAAAGTAAGTAACTATGAATTTAAAAAACGAATTTTAACTAGATTAGGTAACTTGTAAACAGTTAATTCAACGTCTATATGTGAAAATGTCTGCAGCCTAAGAAAAACTACACTTAAATAGAATATTAGTTAGAAGTATGACCGATTATTTTCTATTACAAATTGATTGTTTGGTCATAAACTAATTAGGCATAAACACGTAATTATAATGATTCCTCTACCTGTGCAGGTTAGTTTAAAATAACTATTGTTTAAGGATTAGTATCGTAATAAAAGAGATGTTATCACCAAAATAATTTTAAAATAATGGTAATTGATATGTCATTTAAGATTTGACGGGTTGACGTTGGACTATGTAGTTGTCAATATTCGTATTATGAGTTCATGAAACTTTTACTTAAGCGTCCATAATTATATAATTCAAGAAAAGAACAAAATTAGTTTCATACTGTGGTGGTTTCAAATTCAACAGACACTTGTTTGTAATTGAAAATTTCAATATTCCTTTAGCCAACTTCAGCAGATAAGCTCGGTAAAAGAATAGAATGAGAACAATCCAACAAGCTTCAATACCGAAAGCATAATTAAAAGTGACTTTAAATAAAATCTGTTCAAACTGCTACTTTTTATTCAAAAATTTTTCGTTTCACTTATTATTATTGATTTATTTTCTATCTAAGATCACACTGGATTAACTTTTACGCTTATATTAGGAGATTAACTTGGTAGATATCTAATTCTCTCTAACATTACGTTTCACCTAATTCGTTAGTAATTACCAATATAAAACTGAATTACTATTAAAATAACCACTTACATTACCATAACAAATGTATTCTTTTACATAATTATTTTCAAATATTGATGACAATGCTACATACCCATTGTGAGTAGAAGGTTTAGGAACTCAAAAGTTAACTGTCAATGGCTCAGTAACGCCATCTAGTTATTGTAATGCACACTTCTACAGAGTTTCCCATATATCAACCCTGCATATCAGAGGCTTAGTGTCGACGTATCTCAACACTAAGCGTTAGAAAGTAATTCAAGAACATTACATTTAAAAAATACCGAAATTTGCTAGCATGATGGTCGCCATCAACAGAATGAATATTAATAAAACTATACAAAGTTGGGAAAAAGTGATATTTTTGGAAATAATGGGTGGTAACAACCGACTAATCCATTGCCATCCTTTGTATCACCTAGAGGTTAATTATCCGCCAGTAGCGGTGATAGTCTACCTATATAAAGTTTAGGCTAAATTACTTATACACCTAGACAGTTCTAAATGAGTTTTCAGATCTTTATTCGTTATCTATTGATCTGAGTTAATAGTTGAATTGTGAGATTATATTCTTTAATTGTGAAACATGTTTGAAGCTGCTTAAAATGAAGACCAGAGTTCGTAATACTAGTTTGTTTTGTGTTCGACGCGATAGAAACGAGACCGTATTCGGCGCTATTATTTGCTTCTTTAGATCAGGTGTTGCAAAAGTTTTAATGCGTGTACAATAAATACATGTTACAGTTTATTTTCATTAATATCTACTGAGGTCGGAAGAATGCCGACTGGCTGAATCAAGAATAAGACGAAATTAAAAATGCTTTTCAGGCCACTACAGGCGCTAGTATCGTTTAAGGTCTTGTAATATATTATTATTATCGTCAAATAATTAGTCAGACGACTTGAGTCAACAAACTTGATTGTGCTAGCACGACCTTACGTTCACTAGCGCCATCTCATGAGCGCAAACGAAAACCCTCATTCAAAAATTTCTTCCTGTTTTGTATTCCTAATTTAAAATCAATAGTCAAAACGTTCTACTTAGCGCATTTAATGATTGTTTATAAACAATACGGCAATTACATCAAACGCTCTTGGTACATAAACACAAGGCCTTGATTCGAGATTTAACCTAGCATCAAATATTTACCGACCTATCAACAGTTTCAACAGTAACCCCACTTTTCTCACTAAACCCGACACGCGATGCAGGACTCCAGGACCCAAGTAAATTCACCACATTTCTATAACATTTAAAAACAACACACCATTAGGGTTCCGTATCCAAAAGGGCAAAAATAAAATTATAAATATTACTAAGACTCCACAGATCGTCTGTCTGTATCTCATCTATACTATACCAATATACAAAACTGAAGAGTTTGTTTGTGTGAACACACTAATCTGTGAAACTACTAGATCGAATTGAAAAAAATCTTTTTGTATTGGATAGCCAATTTATGGAAGAATAGATATAGATGTCGGACATATATGATAGTAGGATCAGATTATATAAAAAATTACCTTTACCAATGTTTAGTGATTTTGGTCACTCTTATCTAAATTAAATGCTAATAGTCTAAAAGCATAATTATTTCAACTAAATCATAAACAGGTACTATTGAAACGCAAAACCGTATGAAAGTTTTTTCCTCTTTCTTTCACAGGTAATATTATGATACCATTACAGAATTCGGTTGCCAATATGAACATGAACATATACACAATTATTTCAGTTTAAGATTTTTTGCCCATTTTATAAATAATGGTACGGAACCCATTTGAGCGAGAGTTCGCCACGTATTAATGTCCAGTTCGCACTACGATCCTTTAGATACTTTAGTCCAGTAGCGGGTATTTATTTATTGACATTAAAATGAAAGTTAACAGTGAGAGCCAAAACATTATTTATATACTAGCATATAAGATAAAAATGAAACCTATTACAATATTAACTCGTCGAGTACCGGTTTTATAGACACAATTAAAGAACAATAGGTCGCGGTCACCGGTGACCGCTTGGTGTTTGACAGTTTAATTACTATCATTGCATCGCTCTTGCTGTTATTGCTTAAGCAGCTCGCTTTGTGTCGCCTAGTATCATAGCAAAAAAATTCCTACGCCTACGTGGTCCCTCCGTGCTTTCACCAGGTTCGAGAGTACAGCTCCAATTCCGTTAAAGTCAGACGGAATTCTCAACAGAAATTCCTACATTTTATTAGCACTTTCACAAGCAGTAATATTCATAAGATTAACCTCGAAGAAGCTTGGTACTCAATAGATCGAGGCAGTATTTCACCCCGGCCCATCGCCTGCCCTATATAAGGCGCAGGTTTGGCCACATGAAATACTGTACACATCTTTGGGCGGGGCACCTGTGTACCAGCTTCTTCCTCTGGACCGCGTTGAGTGGTGTGCAGTTCTGATTGTTGGGTATCGGGATGTTTCAAACTGGCTAGACACTTTGACAATGCGTAGATGTAGCTTCTGTGTGCATCTTCTATCGCTTATACCACGGCGAGTGTTCTGAGGAATTATTTGGTCTTATACCAGCCGCATCTGTTCACCATCGACTCTCGCGACAGCATATCCATTCCCATCATATAGATGGTTGGACAACTGTACGCTTCTCTCGTAGCTTTCGGCCTTGGACAGCAAAACTGTGGAATGATCTGTCGTCGGCGATATTTCCGAACCGAACCTTCAAGATAAGAGCGTATTTCTTTTTCTAAAGACCGGCAACGCATGCGTGGTACCCATCGGGGCGCTGATCGTTTGGCGGTAATTTAAAATTTTAAAACAAGGTGGTAGATGCAAATAACTTTATCAAATCACTTTATCACTAAGTAATTGTATTGTTTATGTTTTTGCGATAAGATGTTTATTTAAATCGGGTGTACTGTGCAATTCTTAGAAGTAATAAACAGGTTTGTTTACATTTAACACCTATTGTATATTCAACACTGTAGCTACACTTGTTACAGCGATTTATTTATTTAAGAGAATTTAATTGGTTGCACCCTATATCACTGGTGTAACTGATCTTTCGGAACACTATGGTACACTTTTTGCATCTGTGTATCCCAATCATCTATTTTACTGATTTATTAATTACGGAGGAACGTGTTTACTTTGGTCTGTCTTTCTTGATTCTGTCCAAGAGCTACTAAATACTCGCTACTCGACTAAACGTAGTGCGAACACGGCGTCAGTGTTTTTATACTGTCCGTCTTTTCGTATGTTTGTGTGCGTAACACGTTAAAAGCGCCATCTCCATTGCTTTCGACTTACATACACAAATATTGTGCGTAACGAGTAACAATTTAGTCTTATTTCGTCGTTTAAATCGATTCAGTCTTTCAAAAGTTATTACAATTTATTGTAAAGAAGAAGAAATTAACATCACTCTGTGTCAAATGTTTAACGACACTAATATAAGTTTTAACATTACTTTTTTCAGTCTACGAACCAACGGAATGTTTTAACATTTATCACATTAATCGAATTTAAATTATATTCCAATAACGACGTACACACTTACCAAATTAGTAGCAACAGTTACATCTAGTATTCAATTCTGGAGGCACAAAGTTACGTCACTATGGCTTCATTCATTTTAATCCATAATGAGAACTTTATGAATGAGTAAACGAATACAAATAGTGGAAAACTTTTACATCACTATTTGTCTTCATAAACCACTGAAACAGGACAGTGACTATAGTACTGTTGGTTAGTGCAGGTGACCCTGATTTTATAACGAACTACGTTAACAATTCGACAACATTAACTTATTGAAATTTCAGTCGGGCATTCTTCTAAACAATCGATTTATCTATCTAACTAGGTACTGTAACATGTATTTATCGTTTAACTAGCACTAGGATAATGTAAAAGTGATTTACGTCTATTTGATGATGACGATGAATACTGTAAATTGTTTTACAGATTTACTGCAACTGCAATAGCTACATGTTTCATAATTGTAAATATGAACTATATGTTTATTTATTAATTAAATGGTGAATCAACAGCTACATATGTTCATACACAGATATGTTCAGATATTTTAAGTTCGAATAGCCATAAATACGTTTGCAATTACTCGAACTCGTCAACACAATTTCGAAGAGTTTTAACCCGTAGTTGATGACTTTTGACCATTACCGACTACTTGCAGTAGATGGACGACATTAAATGATTACTTAGAACTATTTGGAGCTACCATAGAAGTTTCTGTCAACTTATGTTGCTTCGGTAGGAAAATGTAAGCATTTGAACCATTTACAGAACTTACATCCGCCATGCCTAACCTCGAAGTTTCTTTAAGTAAACCTGCGAAATCTCGGTACTTTTGTGAATTTTCAAACATTTTTACGTCAATCTTAAGATTAGGCTTCTTCTTTTTCAAAGTTTTCGTATGCCAGACTAGTATTTTTGAGCAATTGTCAGCGAGAGGTTCTATTTCGTCGAACTTTAAACCTAAACTTACTAGGAACCTGTCTTCTTCTAGTCCGGTCTTGTACGGCATGTAAGCGGTGTCCTTCAGAAACTTAATGTTGATGGCGAAACCCGCCATGTCCACGGGGAATGTTCTAGAGCCAACCCACGAGTCGAAGAAGGCCACCACCTGGAATTACAAATTCTACCATTAATATAATTACAATAAAAAAAGTACACAGTGTGTCATACAGTTAAAATATAGATGTTACGTGTTGCGTGAATTTCGTAAATTCCCGCTGGAGTTGAGGCGAGCACAGCTACGCTTCTCAACTTTAATTTCCGGCTATTGCCATATATTATAATAATTAAATTATGCGGCGCGCTATTCATAAACAATGACAATCATTCGTCATCCTATTCTCCCACGATTAGATATAGGAAATAGTATTGTTGAAAGTCTAGTAAATTATTCATCAGGATTAAGTAGTTATTACGATATATCCACAATTCATAAAATTTAATTTTATAAGGGTCGATTCACATCTAACAGAAAATGCGTCGCGTAGAAAAATGCAGATGTGTTCAATGTACTATAATAATTTAATTTTAATAAAATAAACTAAATTCCTTTTGAAGTGAATACTGTATTTTTGGGTACATAAACTGGCTTATAATTATGACGTATTTATATTATACTAGCTTCTGACCGCGACTTCGTACGCGCAATCCCATTTCCCCCCATTCCCGTTCGTGATTTTCGGTAAAAAGTAAAAAAAAGTATTGTATAAAAAGTATCCTATGTCCGTCTCCTGGTTCTAAGCTACCTCCCTGCCAATTTTCATCTAAATCGATTGAGGCGTTCTTGAGTTATAAATAGTGTAACTAACACGACGTTCTTATATATATATAAGATATAGCATCACCATCGTCCCAACTGTACCGCTACTGGAGAAGTTCTCTTTTCGCATGGAGAAGATATGAGTATTAATCACCACGCTTACTCAAAGCGTATTGGCTACTTCATACTAACTTTTTTTTTAAATTCATTGCCCCGCATTAGGATTCTTTCCTGTGTCGTGGGTGCGTTTACAAACATACAAGTTCACATACACAATGACACCCAGAATCGAAACAACAATTTGTGGATCACACAAAGTGTTGTTCCGTGCGGGAATTGAACCTGCGACACGTTGCACGGCAGTCGGTTGCCCAGCCACCGCACCAACCGTGCAGTCATTACAATTTTTATTTACAAACTTACTATTTAAATTATATGAATCTATGTCCAGATTTATTCACAATGTTTTTCCTTGACTGTGATGTAGGTATATAATAAACTTGCGAAAGGCATAGGTCTTGAACCGGCCCCGTCATGAGTTCGGTTAACCTTTGGTGACTACAGGTGCTAAATATCAAAACTAAGTTAGCAAACGCCTAAACAAGAGCCTCACTCCCGTCTCATACATGAGAGTGAACTATAACTATTGAAAAGTGCATGGTGCATTCTATATGTGCATCTCTGACTACCCCTTTATTGATTATTTATGTGAGACGTAATGTTAAGTTGAGGACTGCATAAATTCGGGTCAAGGGCATTATATGGTAACAAAATGTTTGTTTTTCTAGTCGCATCCGTAATATGAGTGTTTTATCAGATGTGAAGGTAATTTTACACTTCTCAGTACTCAGTAATATAATGTTGCAAAAATGTAAAGTAAGTATTATGAATATCACGTACAACCTGTTCAGTTCTAAGAACAGAAAAAAGGCGTAAACATTGGTACATTCTGCAAAATTTTCGCAGCCATAAAATTAGTAGGATTATATATTTACCTTTCCATCTGTGACGACCGGACTGGAAACTCCATAATCTCCGATCAGGCCGACAGGAAACATTGAAACTTTCTTCGTATTCCTGATCTCATCGAAGAGCTGCAGGTCCACCGTATTGTCATCATCTCCAAAGTACAGGACTCCTTCATGGACGTTGTCTCTGAGCCACGCTAACGCTGCCCGCCGGTTCGCCACTCCTCGAGGAAAATTACTGATTTGATACTTGAATGGTTTTGGGCTCGATATGTGTGTGTAAGGCAATCCCGATCGTCTGGAATAAGTTATTATAAAAGTCAAATAGATACTATACTTTTATAGTTCATAATTCAAATTGTTTAAAACCGCCTAGTATTGCAAGATCCGTTAGGCGCACCTTACTTAAAAAACCAATAAAGAGTTAAAAAATTACTACAACTTTAAACTTTAAATCATAAACGATAGAAGACCTAACAATATAGGAAATCGACCCGCAACAACACTAATTAACAATACAAAATATAATAGCAAAACGTTTTTATTTTAACCTTGTCAATCAATAAGGACTTAAAACGTTGACAACAATGAATCCATGGTTGTCAAGGTTTTAAGTCCAATTTGTATCATGAACTATTTACCTACTCTATGTTACTATGTACTTACATGTAGTTGGTTACATACCTATTTACTATAGGAGCGTAGGTGTTCTACGGCAAATTGAACATAATGATAGATCATTTAGGTGATCACTTTACTTTAGGTACTATGTATAATGGTATACAGAAGCGGCCTTGTCTTGTATTAACTAGAAACAATTTCCGTACGTTGAACGGCTACGATCTAACGCATTATTTACTTCACATTGACGCATTAATTTCTTCTGATGAAAGATAACCTAAATTATCATTCAGTCTCCTATTTTCTCCGGTGGACAACCTAATTAGTTATCAGGTCTATGGACGACATAGCTGGGTACCGAAGCAGAAGTCTGACACTATCTCTCATCTCCTCACTGAAGGCGAGACAAGTCATTGGACGATATTCCCCCCTCAAAAAGAAGCCTCCCTATTTCTCGAGACAAGAATTGATCGCAACGTGTCGCGGGTTCGATTTTCTCACGGAACAACTCTTTGTGTGATCCACAAATTGTTATTCCAGGTCTGGGTGTCATGTGTATGTGAAAATGTAAGTTTGTAAACACAACCACGACGCACGATAAAATCATAATATGTATGAGGTAACATTTTTTAAAATCCTTACTAATATTATAATTCTCGAGGGAAAACGAAATTATTGGTATAGATGGCACTGTGTGTATTGGTATATGTCACATAGGCTACTTTTTATTATTTTGTGACGCGAGCGAAGCCGCGGGTAAAAGCTAGTAAGAAATAAACATAATTTCGCACTTATTTAATTCTCTACTTCTGCCAGCGATTACGCTTAAATCCCCGGAATAAGATGTACCCACTTTATATGTTATTTTACATTATATCTAAACTATGTCTGTGCCTTTCGCTGAGATCAAGATAGTAGATTTAGCGTCAAAGAGTAACTTTCGCATTTGTGATATTAATAGGAAGTAGCATAGCAATACTCAATATGAAGAAAAGAACATGTGTGTGACATACTAACCTTAGTATGTCAAATACGACATCGGAGCAAATTGGTTGGTCATCAGCTACGATCCAATGTAATCTCGGGACATGCATCAGTGTGTGGGCCAGCCTAGTCAGTTCTGGTACCTGCTCCGGCCGAGGGTACGTGGGTGTCACAAAATATATCATCTTCAAGTCCGACGTCTTGTTCACATAAGTCCTCTGGTCCTTGAAGTTCACGCGGCATAGTTTATTCTTCACATTCAGTGGAATCTCTTTCATCATCCCTGAGCTGTTGAGTAAAAATAAATTTGATATCAAGCATTCTATTTCAGCCTCTATAGACTGCCTCGTTGGCCGAGCAAGGGGACTGCGACTGCCGGGCAAGGGGTCTCGGGTTCGATTCCCGGGTCGGCCAAAGTATTACTGGTAAAAATCTCAGTAGTAGCACGGAGTTTGGAAATATGGCAATTATTACATGGGATTCATAACATAAATAGTGAAAAGTGGGTGTTACATTGTACAGTGACATTAAGTGCCATAATGTGCACCTCTGCCTACCCCTTCGGAAATGTCGCGGAGAACCTAACGGGTAACCGGGGCTCCGGCTCGATGTGCAGGAGAAGGAACGGGGTGGTTTTTAGTCAGTAAGAGTCTGACACTCACTCCCGCCTCAATATCTTTATATATACACATATCTTTGTTTCATTGAATCCTTGTAAGATACCAAACCTAATGAATGTATTCTTTTAGATAAGGATTACTAATGGGCTAATGAAAATGGCTTCGAAAAAAACGTAGTATTTGTAATCAATACTGTTGAAGTTAGTTAGTTTATTAATAAAAGAAAGAAAATTCCAGTTTCTAGATATGGTAACCCAGTTTCACATTTCATTTATGTAAACTATGTATATTGATGCAAATGTACCAAATTCATTCAAGAAGGCGATAAACTCCAATGATAGTATAGTAAGCAATGGCAAATAGCACTGGATTCTGAAATAAAAATAATACTTGGCAAATTGTAGAAAAGCCAAGAGATAAAAAGGTAATTGATGTTAAATGGGTTTTTAAAAAGAAAATCAATAATGTTTATAAAGCTAGATTAGTTGTAAGAGGGTTTCAGCAAAAGGATTTCAATAAAAACGCTTACTCGCCTGTAGGTAAATTGCAAACATTGATAATTTTCTTGTCATACAGTTGCTAAAATAATCTATTTGTAGAGCAATTGTAGGAGAGAGATGCTTCGGCACGAATGGGCCGGCTCGACCGGAGTGATACCACGGCCTCACAGAAAACGGACGTGAAGAAACGCTTGCGTTGTGTTTCGTCGTGTGATTGAGGTTACCGGAGGCCCAATTACCCTCCCTTCCCTAATCTCCCCAATTCCTGAATCCCCAACGATCCTCAAACTCCTAACCCCCAAAAGGTAACGCACTTGTAACGCCTCTGGTGTTCCAGGTGTCCATATGCGACGCCGATTGCTTACAGTCAGGTGATCCGTCTGCTCGTTTACCGGCTTATACCATAAAAAAAGCAAATGGATGTTGAACAAGCGTTTTTAAATGGCTATGTAAAATCAGAAGTGTCCATCATTTATTTAAATGAAAACCAACCACTTCAACAAATACTTTTAATACGATAGTAGGTCCTTTAGGAATATCGCGACACAAAATGGGCTATTTTCTCAAAAGTGAGCTTTTGCGGTAAAATGGATGACCACTTCACCTATATGCTTGATTGAAACTACATATCAAGTTTCAATCAAGCATATTGTATATATAAGTATATCCAATCAAGTTCTGTGGTTTCTCTTTCCTAATATATTCTGTGTAATACCAGTAATTATATAGATAGTACCAATTATTATACAGAAAATAGCTAAATACCATAGCTTTACATTTTTTGTCCAGTTTTTTCTTATTGTTTTTTATTAATTCGTTCATTTACAGATCATATTGTTCTTAAGAATTTAACATTCTTATATATAAAGGAAGGAGCGAGTTAGGCCTAAAACAAGTATTGTATAATAAATTACTGGGGTTGCCTCAATGTTAAAATAAATAATGTAATTCTTGAGATAATAAACAATTTGAATATTTTATTATTTTAGCTATGCAAGAACCCTAAAGAATGTAGATTCCATAGGAGACATTGTCTTTCATAAATAGTGACGGAATCCAAGGCGCATTCATGAATTTAGAATCATAACATAACGATAACAGATTATAGAAATACACAAATATGAAAAAGGATAATAGAACTACACAAATATGAAACCGTGAAGGTAGTTGAAATAATGCACTAATGTAGAGAAAATTAATCAGTCATAATGAATACAATTAATATTTTTAAACCAACTATAGCAAAATAGTAGATTCAAAATAATTAAATATGCTGAAATGGGACAAAAGACTTAGGTACATTAATAAACTGTAATATGTTTAAATAGAAAAGTATTGTCAATATTGTTTTTATTTACATCCCTTATACATAGCTGAACAATGCATTATTGCTGATATTTAAGTTCCAAAATAATATATTACTGACATCCGAATTGTCTGTCTACCCTGAAGGGTATAACCTCGGTGTCTTCAAGGCCCGAGTGAAAAGGTTGCTTATGGAACGACGTGCTAGACCAGGCGAGATAGTGGTCAAATGTGGGCCCATCAAATATATAAAAAAAGAATACTGAAAGGCTACTCAGTTATAAGTAAGCATAAGAACTATACATAAGCGGGACTTAAAATTGAGTAGCATTTATTAGTATTAAAGAAAGCCTCGCAGTTTTAAAGCAGGTGTTTGTTTTTGTGCGAAATTTTCTTGGAGTAATGTTTTTGATCTTGACCCCGGTTTTCCACCATGACCACACCCTGCAGAAATTAAGGTGGTACCGGGAATAAGAATATAGATTTTGCAGTTATACACGCTAACACCAGGTAAGGGACTATTGTACTATTGTACCAGGTAAGGGACCAAATTAATTTGCAAGCGACACTATTGAGTAATAAGGTATTTTGTCTAATAAAGAACTTAGTAATTTCAATCGGTTGGATAGTGTAAACACATCTTAGAGCTATCTGGTAAACAAAAACAAGAATAGGTAGGTGATCCTCATTAAAAATCTTATTAGTACATATTATTACCATCTGAAGCTTCTAACACCTAGCATAATAATTAAACTATGTTTAAAAATACCATATTTACTTAATACAAATCTAGAATCTTTTGAAATCCAAAGGTAAAAGAATTTTGAAAATTACCCCCATCATCCATGTCTCAACGACACAACATTGGCTTTAATAGACAAGCAAGCAATAGACCATTTAACTATACACTCAATAAAATATAATAATGACTGAAATTTCGTTTTCTTTACCTTGAAAATTGTATAACTGTAGTATTTCAACTAGGGTTCGTGTTGTTTTCTTAACATAGGTAGATATAACATTAATTTCCATTTTCAGTCGAAAATGCTTTGGTATAGAAGAGGAATATGCAAATATTTATTTAAGTATTTTCATTATAACCAGAAATATCACAACTATAAGTATAATCAGAAGTATTATAAGTTATAATATATAAATTATTAATACTACATTTTGTATTATTTAGGTCAACTATACTAAAATTAAATAAACAAATCATAACATGAATTAGGTACAATAACATTATTCATTCTCTATTTTGATCACCAATCGCAAATTGAAATAGATACTGTATGTTTTTCAATTTAGTTTTTGTTTTATCCTTAAATCGGACTGAATGTGAGGATAAATCTAAAAGGCCTTGGACAACATCTGGCTTAAACTGTAATTGAATCATTTTAACATAAGCTTATAACAATGTTCATGAATACAAAATTAAATGGAATGTATAACATTTGGATTAAGTAACTGGTGTTCTCATCAGTGTCCACATCAGTGATATATATTTTTATCGAGTAGACGGATCACCTGATGGTAAGCAATCGGCGCCCCCCATGGACACTCGAACACCAAGGCGTTACAAGTGCGTTACCGGCCTTTTGGGAATTGGGAATTTGAGGATAGTGGAGGATTCAGGGATTCTGGAGATATACTTATTAAAACAGAAAACTGCTCTTGCTTGAAATCAAAAATGTGGATAAGTTTTAAAGATCAAAGTAAATATGTACAAAAGAGTTGACTTACTTGACTTGACAAAAGAGTTGTAATTATTAATTTCTCAAATATATGTTGAGTCATTGGCTCTGGTCATCCATTTGCGACAGACATTATGGGTCTATATAATTTGATAAAGATCAGGTCTAGAGTGAATTATAAAAAGCCTTACTCTTACTCACAGACCTGGTCATGAATATAGCCTCTAGCATGACTTGAACCTAGCCAAGTTCTTCGTCAAATAGTAATGTGAGTAAGCCAAAAACATAATAAGTGTACCTAGTGTTAAATTAATTTGGTACAATATTCCAGCAGCCTATTGGTTAATTTAGCCAATAAGAAAATATATTAATCTGTCAAACACCAAGCGGTCACCGGTGACCGCGACCTATTGTTCTTTAATTGTGTCTATAAAACCGGTACTCGACGAGTTAAACTATTATTTTTAGAATTAGGAAATTCTGTAAGGCCAGCTTTTGCTCAGTAGGTAATAAAAATGCTTTATATAAAGTTTTGACAAGAAACATAGTTTAGAGCATAAGAAGAAAGCCTTTCATAAGATAGTGTAAATAATATATAAACCTATGGAATAATTGCGAGTTTTCTCAGATAATAATTGGTTCTTTGTTTGGTATAGGTTCATTATATGCATTTAATTTATTCTAGCCTAATTATTTATGTAATCCTAAAGCTAGTGGTAATGAACAGCGAATACTGTTTATATTTTAGGTGAGTTATGCAAGAAAATAAAAAAATAACAAAATATTACCTGACAAGTTCCATGTTCGCCCAGAAGAATACAAAAACTATAGCACTTATAATAATTGCCATCACAAATGATTTTTTAAACACTTTATAAGATGCCATGACTATAAAAACGATTGTAATAGTTATTATCAGTCGATAAAAATAAAGTTAAAAAAATACTGCACAATCCTGCTCGTGCATCTTGCTTGACAATGACAGACAATGACTGACTGACTGATGACAACTTGACTTGACAACTGAGAACTACAACTTTGAAGTTTGTAATATTGACAATCAAACGTAATTGACATTGACAGAAACATTTTTTTAATAGCAAGAAAATCTTGTAATTTTGCAACGGGCAACATTATAGTTTTGACATTGACAATGACAACGATTTGACAATGACATCGACGTATAAAAGACGATGATATTCTTGTCACATTGACTGACGTCAAAGTTACCAACATCGAAAATGTTATTGATCGTGTACTTTGTAATGTTGCCAGTAATGCTACGTGCTATTTATAGAATGAAAATCATAGAGAGTTATAGTTCTCAGAAATGTGTACTTGGTATTTGGCTAACAAATTGTTTTATGTTTGATGATAAGGGAAAGCATTATTGAGATTTTCGGTCTCCGAAAATTCATGTCTATGCACGGCAAAAGGCTGAAATAGTATTTATGATATGATAAGTAAAAACTGGCAGTTATATCCAGGTTCACTTTTGCAAACCAATGGTATAAAAGACATAATTTTTGTATTGTGTCCCTTCACATCTTATAAAGAACTTTAAACGGGTAAATTCAATATGTATAAAGTTCCATGTATGTAGAATAATTTAAAACATTTTTTAATGAATGTGTTACTGGGGGATAGGTAGATGTGAGTGATAACTGTTAGCTAACTTAAAAAACTAAACAAATAACACGCGACAATTCGTGTTCGTGAGCACTATAGTATCAAAGCCCTTTATGGATAAGTTTGGTATTATTATTTCACAATATTACATAGTAGGTGGACTTAACTAATAATGAACTTTTACTGATGCGGGAAACGCATTCCGATTTTGATTGTGAAAGTTTTTAAAGGCATCACGGACGTTCACAAAAAAATATAATTTTGGTGTTATCATAATTATTTGTGCAGGTATATCTTTCGATCGATATTATTTCACATTATTCATAGGAAGTACTAGCGCTTGATATCTTTTATGCAATGTTGAGATTTTAATTGCGTAGGTAGAGCCGTGCGGCCATGAACTTACTAAGAATCGATATCAATGCATTTGAATCGTATTAAAGTTTATTTTTCTGCGTTATTTATTATACAATAGGTTGAGTGCATACTGGAAAAAAGAATGGTACGCTTTACTCTTGGATGCTTGGAATGTCCTGAGACTAACACATTGATATTGTACTTTCATATCACCTGAGCCTGAGTATCATATGTGCCAGGCAAATGTGCTGTGTTTTCACGCGCACATAATTTAAGTACCTATACAATTTGAGGAACACTTTAAGCTTAGTTTTAAAACTTTTGTAAAAATAATGATATCGATTAGTACATTTTTGAAACACATTGGTGTTTCAATTATGAAATTAAATTGATGAAATTTAATGAAAATTTATTTTTTGTCCTTGAGCCTGTGCCTGATATGATGGCAACATGGCAACAATAATAATCAAAATTAATTAGAAATTAAAATTTATGATTTTCTTTATGGAAATATACGAATTGTGATTTTTAGTAAACAATATGTAGCATATAAAATATGAACTAATTTTTTGTGAATTATAAAACTATTTTTCAATACACATGTCCAACCGAGTCTTGCTAAAATATTGAATATTTTTTTAATTATAGTTTTGATGCTAATTTGTTGTAAAATATTGGTTTATTTGAAGATTTTATCTTTATGCGGATGTTTTTGGGAATATTATCGTTGGATCATTGCACCGGATTTTTAGATATGGTGGTACTAACTCTCCTCAAAATAATTGATTAATTTTCTTTCTTATGTTGGCTATGACGATTTCGTTGTCAACAACTTCAGTGTGGTGGTTCGATAGTGATTGCGCGTAGTGTTATTGTTTTGTGGAAAAAATTGTGAAACTTAACTAAATCCTACATCTTAAGTGAATAAAATCGGTATAGTTTTCGCCCTTCTTTATCCATATTTATTTTCTCCGTGAAATATGTCAATCTCGAACGAGGTAAGTTAAATTTTATGCTACATCAACATTAGTGTGTAGGGCGGTATGATCGTGTGGCAAATGACAGCATTTCTTGTCTTACAGCTATTTTTATCAATAAAAATGACGGTAAATCGATTACAAACAACGTAATTTAGTTATTCTTTGTCTACCGTAGCCGCCCATTTCGTTTTAGAGGACATTTTTGATGGTATCGAATATGCATCCTCCATATTTTACTGCTACGTGCATGGTACCAACTACATAATGTTAGTAGCTATAGAGGCTTTTTTTGCTTGTGAGCCCAATATTTTCTTATATTTCTTTGCATCGTAAGGAAATAAACAAGAATCGGATTACTTACGATTGCAAAAAGTCGGATGTCGTGATATTTTTTGAATTACATTATGTAAAATTAAGAGTTAATTAATAACTTTTTAATTATTTGGGCGCTTAATTACAAAAGGTCTACAAAGTATTTTGTTTAAAGTAGGCCAATATACCACTCTGTTGTCAAAGTATAAAGTTTGATAAGATTGACAATGGCTACAGGGATAGGCTCCAATGGCTGTGGGTATTGATTTTCTTGGGATCGATGTTTAAATTGTGATTGCGATACATGAGTGTCGTTTTAGCTTTGCATAAATGCCCTGGGTGGAACCTGACTGAATCAATCAATACTAACACTAAACTGTATTGTTTGATTATAAATAAATTGGATGTTACTATACCCTTGTGAAGACCTTATTGTTAACGATCGCCAATTTTAATAGAATACAAAGAATGTTATGTTCAAAGTCAGATAAATTAAAGAATAAAAGATATTTAGAAAATTTTCCCATCCACAAAAGATTGGTTCAGGTTATGGCCACTAGATGGCGCTGTTGAGACCACCCAAGGTATATTTCAGCTGTGTTGTGATTCCTTTGTGTGGACATAAATGCTCCTTGCATTAATATCCATATAATTAAATTAGATAAACTAAAATGTATGTAAAAAATAATAAAATAAGAAATAAATCAAGTAAAATTAGTAATTACGCTATTCCAAAGTGTTTTGTAACAGGAGTTCCTTTATGAGAGTTAGATCTTACAGTAGTACAATTTATTGTATCTACATTTCAGTTTTAACCTAATATAATAACACAGAAAGAAAAACGTAGCATATATTGATGTAATGCAGAAAAGTTAAATATCAGTGATTGTTTTCTCAGAGTTAAACCGACTAACAGTTATTCTATAATGATATTTGGGTGTAATTGCTAGAATTTTTAATTCCCAATACATAATCAATTACCAACTTCATTACATACTCTAAAAGCAACAAAAATTAACAACAACTTTGTTTTTCTACCAAATTTAAAGTTCTCCTAATCTCATCTCTTGTTTAATAAGCAACTTAGATAAAAATAATTAAAAACATGACTATGATAGTCCTAAAAATATATATGTTATACATACTTAAATATGATTGTTGAAATCATTTAAACTGTCAAACACCGAGCGGTCACCGGTGACTGCAACCTATTGTTCTTCAATTGTGTCTATAATGACGGTACTCAACGAGTTAAGTGACAATTTTTGACAAAGAGTTAACATGGTTATTGCATTTATATCTTCATGCTTCACAAGGCAAGGCAAGGTACACCAATATCGCAAAAAAGATATATTAAAAGATAAAGTTATGTGTCAGGAGGGTGGAGTCATATGGAGTGGGAAAGCAACCCACCCCAATGAACGTCGGTTACAAAATTTAAAATATTGTTTGTATCGCAAATATACCAAAGATTATCAGCATAAAGATTTAAATAGCTAAGATATTTGATCTAATTTAAGTGAAATAATTATACAACTTACTTACTTACAGAATTAATAAAGAAATAACAATTGGGTAGTATCTCTCACAATATAGTTTTTAATACGATAAAAAATATATTTAATATGTTAGCTCAATGTTCCAGTATGGAATACATAATGCATATGTATTATTGGTTGCCAGTAATCATTGCACAATGAAGACAATGGTCTGAAGTGCAGTCTCATTATTCTATTACTTATGATGTCCCCCTGCACTCGTGAGAGAATTCTGCCTTGACAGCTAGTTAGATCAATCATGACACTCAACATGGCTGATAGATTTTTACATTTCAATAAGTAGGTATGTTGAAATGAAACATGTTCTAAGTAGGTAAATTGTAAGAGTACATCAATTTGTGATGTGACATTATTTTCCATGGTTAATGTGCTTGAATTGACAGAAAACAATTCAATTTACATTGTTCAAATTACTTAGGTCATTTTCCTACTTTGATTATGTATTTGACAGTTTAGGCTACTTTAATGACGCTTATGGCAAACAACACAATCATTAACAGCCTGTTATTACATTTACATGCCTAATTACAAAGGATTCTTATTTATTTTGAACAACACCCGTCCTACAGTCGGGTCAAAATAGCACAGAACAAAGAAGAAACAATAATATAAAAATTATGCAAAAAATCAAAGTAATTGTGTAACTGTATGACATACTTCCTCACTCCTAATATGTTTTTTTACAATGATAGCATTAGTAAAGTATGAACTACATCTTCTATCATTATGAACTGTATTTCTCATTAAGTGTTACAAAGTAAGTTATCCTTTTGTGTGGAAGTATGTAAACATTGAAACGGAATGAGAATGCTAGATAAGCCATACTTAGACAGAAAATTAGGTTTGTAAAGAAGAAAATGATTTCGTAATTTCGGACTTGTTAATTTTCCCAGTACACAGTAATTAGTCGGGTATGATACGCGTTAAGTGTCATTCTGTGTAATTTTTCTAATGACAAAGTTACTGTCATCTGTAATATTACACGCGGCGCGCGACACTGTTTTGACAAGTATCAGGTTTGTAGGAAAAATTGAGTTGATTTTCTAAAA